TTCAGAATTGCTAAAAGACACCACAAACATCTCCCAACTTTTCGATAATGAACTAAATAACAATAAGGGTTGAAGCTCATCATCCAACACCATTTTCATTGAAGCTAACTGATGTACAACATCTTGCATTTGGTTCAAGTGTTCGGTAATGGATGAACCCTCCTTGTACTTCAAATTTATGAGATCTCTTATTAAGAAAGCCTTTTTGCTAACGATTTTCTTCTCACACAGCTCTTCCAATTTGTTCCAAAGTAGAACGGTTAATGTTTCATCCACAAGATGATAAATACTAGCATCCAACTATTATCAGATACATGCAATGGCTTTCAAGTTAAGAATTTCCCATTAGTCACTTGACATATCCTTGGGATTGCCTTATTCACCTTTTAATGGTGCATAAAAGTCTTTAGAAAGCAACATATCCTTCACCTTTGATTTCCAAAGAGTCTAATTGCTTCCATTCAATGAAATCATCCTAACCAAACTTCCTTCCATGATTTGTACAAGAACCTTGCTCTGATACCACTTTGTTAAAGAAACAAACCCCTTTGTACTTCCTTGTGCAAATCAAAGAGATTAACAAGCAAATAGCAAGCAACAATATATAGAAGCAATTTAACAAACACAATACAAATAATAACAAAGACATCAGGATTTACGTGGAAAACCCCTCAATGTGAGGGTAAAAATCACGGGACTAAAGTTCACAACTTCCACTATCAACCAAATAATAGAGTACAACAAGTTCTATCTAGTTATGAATAGATGAATACATCAAGAGAGAAACTCTTGGTTTCCAACAACAACAATCATCATCTAAATAGATGGAATAATCAAATGAGAAAGACCTCACCAATAAAAAAGCAAAAGAGAGAGAGAGAGCCAAAAAATGTTGTTGGATTCCTTCTTTCTTCTACAACCCTTATATTTTCTTCCTGTCCCTTGTCAAAAACCTTTCTCTTCCAAACCTTTTTCTTCCTCCAAAATTTCTTGGAGAGTAGAAGACGTAGAAAAGCTTAATACAATTTGTTGAGACCCAAAAGACTTATTGGCTTGTGAGACAAGACAAAAACAAAAGCCACCTTTCTCTTTAATTTGCTTCTTTTTTGTCTTTTTGCACATTTTACTTTTGTTTTCCTTTATTTATTTGTGGGTCCCACCTCATGAGGAGGAAAACCCAACAACATTCGTAACCATAACCTTGGAACAATAGAAACCTAATGCAAGAAAATGGGAAAAAATAAAAATGACCAAAATATGGGCACAATAGAATGTAAAAACAGACACCTTTCGGTATGGCCCCTTTGAAGGCACCTGGGCCGGATGGTCTTCATGATATGTTTTATTGAAATGGGTGGAATGTGGTTGGCAATGAGCTCTGTGAATTCATCTGTGGCCTACTTATGGATCTACCCTCTCTAAAATCAGTCACAGGCACACATTGTTTTAATTCAAAAAAAAAAAAAAGACACTGTAGAGAGGGCAAAATTGTTGCAAAAGTGATTGCATGTAGACTGAAACATTTTCTCCATCATTTCATTTTTGTCTTCCAAAATGCATTTACACTGAGAAGGCAAATTGTTGATAATATCATCATTGAAAGAGAAATAATCCATTCTATGAACAAGAACACCAAAGGCACGGGTTTCTTTTTATTGAAGATTTACCTTCCAAAGGATTATGATCGCGTCAAATGGCTCTTCCTACCCCACTATATGAAACTTTTGGGTTTCTCTGATGAGGTCATTACTCCAGTCCATTCTTGTATAGAAGCCAGCTCCATGAGAGTTATATTATTAATGGCACCCCAACATACCATTTGTTCCATAAAGAGGATTGAGGCAGGAGCGCCCGCTATCCCCATGCTTATTCATCATTTTATCTTGAAATTCTCTCACGGATGTTTTCCCATGCTCTAAAGGATGGACATTTAAAAGGTTTCAAGTTTAGTAGATCTGGGGTAAGGCTGAACCATTTACTATTTGATGATGATTTGTTGGTTTTTGGAGTAGCTGATATCATAGAGGTGCAAAGATTAAAACTCATTCTTGAACAATCCTGTTGTCGGTCAAGAAACTTATTAATTTTGATAAATCATCTATTTACTTCAGAAAATATACTTGTGACCAGCTCAAAACCTCCATCAAGGACTTTCTAGGCATGAAGGACATGTTAAAAACGTATCCTTATTTAGGAGGACCAGTTCTGGAGGCAAACAAGAGGATCTCCATTTGGTAATTCATTGTTGACAAAATTAAAAGAAAGCTGAATGGTTGGAAATTGGGGTTTTATCACATGTAGGGAACACTGTTCTTATCAAATTGACTTTGATGGCCATGCTTCTATATCAAATAGCAACATACAATTTGCACAAATCAGTGTACAAGGATATCTTGGCCACTTGTAGGGATTTTTGGTGGGGTTGATCCATAAATAAAAAACCCATTTATCTGAAATTAAAGTTGGGAATCATTCACAACACCAATGGAGAAGGGAGGACTCGGGTTCAAAAAACCAGCGCTAATGAAAAAGGCCTTAATCTTAAAGCTAGCTTGGAGATTTCTTAAAGAAGAAGATGCACTCTGGGTTTATGGGTCAGCCTTTTAGAGAGTGTAGATCCAATCTTGCTAAAGGTTGCAGATGGCTAGTTTCCAACAGTTGGAAGCTGAACATCTTTGATGATCCATAGTTACCAATTGGACAAATCAACAAATAAACCAGAAAATTGGCAACTAACTTGCAACAAAGTCTCAATGCTCATAAGTCAACAAGATGGTGATTGGGACTTGTACCTAAATGAAGAGGTTGTTAGAGCCATTAAGGCAATTCGGCTCCCAACTAATGATTTTTACACGATGACATACTAGTGTGGACTCTCACCCCACATGGGAAATACACCTGCAATTCAGGGTATAAGATTTTGTACCAAGATACTTGTGATACTTCGAATGCTGAGTGGTTATGTCATAGGCTATGCCAGAAAATTTTCTGGAGAGCTAAAATGATTTATACCATGGGTTAAGATATTTTTGTGGCAATGTTGTAAGGGATCCCTCCTAGGGGTGAGTAAAAAAAACCAAAAAACAGAACCGATCAAAATCGAACCAAAAATTCGGTTAACTAAATTGATCGATTCGGTTTTGGTTCAATATTTTAAAAAATCAAAGGTTATGTATCAGTTCGGTTTCGACCAGTATACATACATACATATATATATATATATATATTATATTTTCTATACATTATAAATTAATAAATATGCATTATATATAAATATATATTTTTAAAATATAATATTATTTATTTATATATTTTTTTATAATAAATATTTTAATTAATAAAAAACCAAAAATTTGATGAACCAAACCGATCAACCGGTTAATCAATTGGCTTCAATTCAGTTTTGGTTACCGGTTTTCCAAAAATCAATAACCCCAGTTCGGTTTCAAAAATTAGCTCACACTTCGATTAACCGAATCATGAGTACCCTAATAAAGGACTACTCAAGTTGACCCTAAGTGTATTTTATGTTCAAAAGCGACACCATTGATGACTTGTTCTTTAGTTGCCCGCGAGTTCTCTCAATCTAACTAGTGACTCTGGGAATCAGAATAGACTACAATGACAATAGAGGACTCCATTTTTAATTGGTTAAAGGAGTGGGTAAGAATGGATGGCCAAGGCACCAGTGGACTCGATTACATAAGTTTGCTCACAAGAGGAATCTTGACAATGTACGTGGAACATTTGGAAATTCAGATGCAAAGTATACTTGAAGCAGAAATCATAGAAATACTGGAGGGGCTTCTCGATTAGCAAAAAGCCTGTCACTCAAGATGTTCATTGTTGAAAGTGATTCAGAGCTGGCAGTCAAGACTATCTCCTCTAACTTGGACCCCCGTACGTGGAAATGGCACACATCAGTTCCAAATTGCAGAGATCTTCTACAGGAGTTCCCTTTCCCTGTGCTCACTCACGCATCGATCCTACAACAGGGTGGCCCATTCTGTGGTTAGGCATCCTCGCCCTATGACATGGTCTATAATGCCTATTAATTTTATTAACTCTTTAATTCTAGATGAGATGTAATCCTTTTGCTAGTTGAAATGAAAGTGCCTTATGGCTTCAAAAAAAGGAATGTAAAAATATGAAAACATTTCTTTAGAATATAAAAATGGAACAGAACTTATTTTGTTTTCATTGCAAAATAGAAACCTATTAAATTCGTCCTTGTATAGAGGTAAGAGAATGGAAAGAGATAAAATAATGGACTGAGAAGGAAACAAATCTTGTTGGAGTTTGAGACAGTGGAAAAAAGAGGTTTCCATAGCAAAGGGGGGAGTTTCTGAATATTTTCCTTCTCTATCATGATTCTAAATAGTGAATAGGTGTGACTGTAGAATGAAGTGGGATTGGAAAAAGGAGGGGGAGAGCCTTACTCATGAGGTGGCTATATATGAGAGACCTAAGAAGGGTAAATAGATGAAGGATATGTCACTCAATGAGAAAGGAAAAAAAGGAGAGATCTGTTGAGGTGGCCCAATTTTTTTAGTATATGGTAATAGATGACTTATTAGGTTGAGCATCTAACCTAGAGAATTGAACTACTTGGCCCAAGGGAAAAGCAGATTTTTTGGGGTATTATTTTTTTCAAACATTAATCGGATTTTGACTAACTTTAGCATTCTTTGCACAAAATGGCTGATGATCTTACATTCAAACCCACTTTCTTATATACAAAAAAAAGAAAAAAAAGGCATGGACATCATTTAATTCCTATTATGCGAACCACTATGCTAAATCACTTAGATTCTTGTGTTAAAGAATAAAAACCTATTCGGGGACCTCATCTAGTAACTTAAGCTTTTTTTTGATTGAATGGTTCTTTGGGTGGGATGGTATGGGAGCTTGTTTGACCCAATGGTACTATGGATTATCGTCACCCTGCCCCCATTTAAGTAAAACCAGTAGATGTTTCATTCAAAAGTGTAATTATTAGATGCACAACACAATCCAACGATAATATAATAATATATATCACTCTGAGAAATTAACTAATTACAACTTATTGTCAAGAAACGAAACAATTATTGTTTCTTGATGACTCCTCCAAGAATTTCCCTTTATTATTATTCCAAAGTCTGGGAATCCTTCTACTCTTCTACATCCCCCCGAAGAACATATATACGACATGCCCACTTTCCCTTTAGTAGTTCACACGGCGACACACCTTCCTAACCTCTCCCTGGTTCCCTGTTTTGACCTCTATCTCTCCCATCTTAATCATGGAAGCAACAAACTTCTTCTCCCAAACACCTGGGTAATAAGCATTCTCCATTACTTCTTTCCGGGTAAGTTCATTAGTGAGCAAGGTTTGGTCTGATGTGAACAACCCTTTGTTTTGCACTAAACCAACGTAATATTTGTTGTCCAGAACGAGCGGTGTAAATCTGTCCATGACAACTATGGGGTCAGCTCCCTTGCTACTCCGGCACTCACCCCTCAGCATTGAGGCTAGATGGGAGTCAAGCGTGGGATCAGGCCTGCCGGTATTCTTGAAGTTGTCTTGTCTGCCATTAATCGAAGAGCAATGCGAGACTCCTACAGTATGACCCCCTGCAATTAATTAAGCCGCAGCAAGAGCATTCAAATTAAAGCCAATTACTTGTAAAGCTGCAGAGAGCCATAAGCCATCACCAAATTAAGCAAGCATTTTGATACAATATAAGCTGCTGGCAGCTGTCATGGTTTTAATATTACCTGAGAGAGTAACCAAATCCTCAACTGACAGGCCTTTTGCAGCATAACCTTGTATGAGTGTGTCAACTTCCGCAGTAGGAGGTAAGAGGTTGTTTAGAGCATCGATGTCCTTCGAGATTCTTCCGTCTTTCCTTCCTCCTCTAATCTTGTACTGCTCGACCTTTCCGTTGCCGGACTATTGTTCCATCCATCGATCAACAAACGAAGAATACAGCACCATGAATGAATGAATTATATGAGACCCAGACCCGATCGATCTGAGTAATTAAAGAAACTGATCATGGCCTAGCTACAATTGTTTCTTACCAGAAAAACAGATTCTCTAGCTGCGTATGCAAGAATATCAGCACAGGAAACAACTCCAGGGCAATGGTGTTCCAGAACAGCTTTAAGTTTATCAATCACCTCAAATCCTTTGAGGCTAGGATTGTTTGGGGGTGCATCCTTTTCTGCTTTATTCCCTGGAGTTGAGTCCAGTAGAATTGATCCATCACAACCCTACATGATTAAACACAAGATGAATTACTCATGAGTGACTACCTGCACTTTCACTAGCTATCTGATAGAAACCAATTACGTTCTGAGACATCTATATATACAACTTACCCTCACAAAGCAATCATGGAAATGCATCCTTATCATCCTCGCAGGAACTGTTACGTCCTTCTTAACTATTTTCTTCATTGTTTCAGCGATCAGAGTCTCAGCTTGGGGGCACGTCTCGCTGTAGTAATCATAGCTCAGACCATAACTATCAGCCGTGGCAGCAAGAGCCCAAAAGCCAGAAGACAGGAGAAAGAGAAATGCCAGAGTCTTCATTATTATGAGAAGTTATTGATCAGTAAATAAAACTCAACTATCTCAGCTGTGGAACAAAGCTGGAGGATACCTTCTGATTATATACTGTGATGCACCTTTTCGTTGACCTTAAAGAGGTATATTTTTTTTTTCAATATCACTACCAAGAATAGTTCGTAACTAAGACATTTGATTAGTGAATAAAGAAGGTTCATTGGTTGAAATAGTACTATGTGTATCCAAATATTACATAATAGAGTGCGTCATGACTCATGAGATGTTACAAAAAAAAAATGTTTTATATATAAAGTTTCAAAACTGAATATGGGAGGTTAAATCCGGTCAATGAGGCAGATCGACTTAACCTGTTGAACCGGCAAGCTTAAACAAAGAAAACAATATATAATATTAGTAATGGGGCAAAAGTCTATGGTGCACCAAAAACAATTGAAGTACGTAAACCAGTAGTAAAATAATGTCACAGCCAAGTCCTTTTACGTTGGTAAACTCTTGATCATAAATATAAAAAGTGGATATACACTTTGTGAAAGTGTGAATCAATAAAAAGTAAAAAAAAAAAAAAAAAAAGTAATCTTTTACATGATTTATCGAAATCTAGATTTAAGCACAGCAAAATGAACCTATTGGCTTGCTTGTTCATTACTGTTCATTTTTGTCTAATAGTCACAGAGGTTGGTGTCGTCACTCCACAGAAATGGTTCAACAGTTCAATCAGGTTTCGATGAAGTTATGACCCTGAGATCAAACCCAACCATGTCATCTTAGCCTGGCCCAGAACTTTCTGGGCTTGGGCCTAGGTTGTGTTCAAGCCCAGCTTGGGTATATTTATCCATATATCATGTATATACAATAAGGTTTCGACGCATGGGTTTTGTTAAGTGAAAGCGCAATTATAGACACATAAAATTAGATAATTGTTTTTATATTTTAATTTTTTAAATAATTAATAATTATTTATAGGGTTGTTTACTAAAACACCCTTATAATTTTATGAATCTACTAAGACCTATCCTATACTTTGCATTTTATTAAAATATCCCCTATAGTTTGCAATCAATTTACTTAATTAACCTTAGATGAAAATAGAAAATGACAGTTTTAACCTTAATGTCCATTCAAATAAACTAAAAATAAAAATGCTATTTTTTCCTTTAATAAAATACAGGCTACCACTCTATTTTTCTCTATTTGATCAATTTTATTTTCTATACAAAAAAAAAAAGTGGTAAGAATACTTTTGAAATAAATAATCCATACCCTTGAACATTTTCTACTCAGTATAGGGGTCCTATTGTGAAATCTATGACTGAACAAAACTCAAGATAGGATGTTGTTGTAGGTCTCGGAGGGATGAACTAGAGAGCAAATGACAGGGGACGGGGACTAGAGTATTGAGTTTGAAAGCAAAATGGTGAAACCTTGGGAGGGAGAGAGTTAGATGTTGGTTTCGTTCGGCCAGGTGTTCGGTCATTGGTAGCCATTTCAGTCACTATGTTCTAGGCCAAATGACAATGCCAGCGCCAGAACCCAGATTCAAGACCCATTGGAGAATAATCAACAGTCCTGGTTACCGAGCAGATGGAATCCATCTGTGTCAGACCGATGTTTCAGGGAACTGCTGACGGCTTTCTAAATGGCAAGGAACAAGGGGAGTGAGGTGCGATGCTAGAGCTACATTTTTCTTCTATTCTTCATAGGTTTCTTGTGTTCTTTTCTTCATTTGAACTTCAAGCAATCAGAGGATCCAATTAGGTTGAAAGCTTAAATATTGAAATGGACTATATTTTTACTTAAATAAGTTATAGAGTTGCTAGACTGAAATTGATTTCGGCGAATTTCCCCAACCTATCTCCAATTATTCGTAACCTGTCAGCTTCCTTATTGCTGTTGTTGCTGGGTTCGGTAATGGCAGTGATCTTGATTCCGGAGGGCTTGTTGGCTGCTAGCTTGTTGTTACTCAGCGGGGTAGAGAGAAAAAAGGGTGACTAACACTGGAACTAATTGTGGGATTTCCATTGCTGAAGCCATCATAAGTGCCGGCGAGCCCAGCCCCCTGGATTCAAACGTTGAGAATGGCATCAATTAAAGAGAGAAAAACTCAGACGGTGGTGTTGTTGTCAAAGAAGAGAAGAGGAATGGAGGGTAATATTAGATTTTAAAAATATTTATGTCATGTCATGTGGTATTAAGTATATATAGATTTTAACGAAATATTAATGGCGTTAACAATAGGAATAGAGTTAGTCAATTATTACAAATAGTAAAAATACTTTTAACACAAAATCAAAAAGGAGTAAAGTTAATTAATTAACTAAACCTTGGGAATACTTTAAAAAATTTGACCTTTGTTTAATTGGTGAACAATCTAATCTTTCTCTTTCTCAACCAATACATTGTAGAATCTTCCTTACCAGGAAAAAATTGTAATATATAGTAAAAATATTGAACTTGCAACTAAACTACCTCTAGCCAAAAGAATGGTTTGAAGTTTCAACTTTCAACAGTTGTGTGATACTCATCAACCACTATCCCTGAGAATTCATGAAAGGCCAATCTTAAAATTATGTGAGAGTTGTTTATCAAACCTGCGTAATAAAATAACAATGTCAAAAAATGAGGACAAATGGGACAATAGCTGGCAAGTTTAGAAGCAGTCGTAGTGTTTAGTTAGATAAGGTTGTTCCTTTTTTTTGGCTTTGAACAGAGCTGACTGACCGACTATTTTCGATTAATTAAGTCCCACTCTTCTCCATCCCAGGAAACAGAATTAGGCACGCCTGGTAGAGTAGACTTGGTTCATGCATATAGTAGGCGAATTAGTCGAAATCTGAAAGCGACCTGCATACGTATGGAAGGTAACCTAAACAACCCCAACTAGCTAGAGAAGCTCAGAGAAGTAGCTGTACGAGCAAGCAACAACCTGGAATGCATTACCCCTTCAACCTGCTTCTACGTTCTACCATGCATCACAATTCACAAAGACCGTTTCTATATCACTATATGCACGTTTTGGCAATATTATAATAACAGTTAACAATTTATTGGTTTGAAAAGAAAGTGTAAATGTAATTAACGCATAGAATTAATTTGTCAGTTATCTTCATTTGAAACCCAAAAAAAAGGATAAAAGGTCTTGAGTTTGAATTGTAAACGAAGATTCTTGGTGTGTTTTAAGAGTCTAAGCAGAGATGTTTGCATCAATGTTTTCGAACTATCATTGGTCAGGACGGTTGAATTGTTTGGCTCAGAAATCATTCAGACAATTAGTTCCGTTTATAAATTTTATCCTGAACCCAGTCTCTAACCAAAAACTATTGAATTTGTCAATAATTTATTGATTCAGATAGTTGAACTATCAACCATTTGATTAAAAGTCATTTTTTATTTATTTTTTTATTTTTTGTCAAAATGAATCATTTATTCGAATTGAACCGTTCAACTCCACATGAGTTTTTAAAACATTGGTCTGCACATTGCAATCAAAGGCCCCCATCTAATGAAATCAACTACTGTTACAGGATTCCTTCACATCACGTAGCAAAAATTGTGGATTACATACCCTTCTTTCTAAAAAAAAATGGAAAATCAGACATTGATCTCTGGTATCAGATGAGTATGCACCGTTTATTCGGAAAGAACCGACATGGTCTATATGACAATTGACAATTGAAATTTTTAAAGAAAATAAATAAATAAATAAACAAGGAATACCCCACTTTCCAGGCTTGGATTTTCACATCTCAATCCTAAATTTTAAATCCTAAACCAGAAGTACGTCTTCGGACCCAGTATGAGCCAAGTATTACCCCACTTTCCAGGCTTATTCCACACCTCCAAAGTCATAGTCATACTATTTTCAAATGTCAAATACGTAAGGGTGTGATTTGGGTGGGTCCAACCCAAATCCAAATTGACCCAGCCCAAAATTTTATATGAACTGAATTTGGATTTTTGGTCATTCAGACGAGTACGGGCCAAGAATTCAGGTTTTTGCCAAGAATTCAGGTTGGGTTCGGGCTAGTCCTATGGTAATCCAAACTTGGTCTGAGCCCAGTTTGATCTCATCCTACTCCAAGTCCGGTCCCATTATACACATTTATACATACATATATAGATATGTATATATTTATAAATGTATATATACTTGTATAAATATAAATATAAAGTGAGTTTATTGACCAACCTGAGACCAGTCTGATCTCAAACCTGACCTGAATACATCAAATTACAATGTGGATTAGACTTAGATTGAAAAGATCAGACTTGACATCAGGATTGATCTGGGCTCAGGCCTTAGGCCCAAATCTTAAGGTTGGGCCTGGATTTACCATAAACTTGGCCCAACCCACTCGACTTGCACCCCCCCCCCCTAGTTGTGTTTGATATCGTGGGAATTTATTGAAAAAACGTTATCACATCAGTGTCACATAGGCGTTGTCGTTTATTGTAGATGAAATATAATGAAACAATTGTTTGGTTTCATCGTTTATCAAATAAATGGTAGAAAATTGAAATGATTTGATTTTTGTGTATAGGGCATTTGGGGAAATGTTAAATTCTTGTTTCCCCCAATACCCCATGTTTTTTGAAACTAAATGCTGATGTAGCACACTTTAATGGGTATTAATTTAAGGTGAAGAATAAAAAACATTTAAAGTGAAGTTCAACCAAACAACAAAAAAAGAAAACTTGTAAAGTGAAAAAACATTTACAGTGAAAAAGTATAAAAAATATTTAAAGTAAAAAAGTACAAATAAATTGCCTATCCATTAAAGCCAATGGAACCAAACCCATACTTTATTAGTTTTGTAATGCATGCTCCATTTAGAATTAAATAACAATGTCAAACAATGATCTTTTACGAAGCATCTGAATTCTTTCACTTAGTTGGCAAGTAGTGATGATTACTTTAATTTTGGGTCATCTAACTGCGTTCAACTTTCATCTATGAGAGGTTCTTTTCCCCTTTATGCACCAAAACCGATGTAAAGAAGCAAACTTAGTAACCTGGTTTCTGAATTGAGTGAAGAAGATGATTG